TATTATATACTTACTACATATGCAATATAGTCATATAATAGGTACACTATATTATTATATATAATTTTAAAATCATTTAAATGTAATCGTTAATGTGTATTAGGTTAAGTTAATTCGGAAGCTAAATAGCTAATAATATGTGCATTAAATAAGATTGATAAAATCGAGCACACGCACACACTGTGTAGTTGGTGGAGTGAATCGAAGGGTGGCGAGATAAGGACGCAGAGAACAGAATACAGATCCATGATACAGATGAGTAGATGACCAACAAAAAATATTGCGGTCGCCAGTATACCTTAAACAATATGGTCGGCGGTCACGTGGTTTATACTACAGAATTTACAAACGGATACGCTTTCAGAAAGTTTCTGCTGGAATATTTTTCACTAAAATCGAGAAAGATTCTAATCACGAGTTAGCACGAATATTGTTTACGGTATTCGCGGTATATTGCTATATGTTTATTGTTTTCTCTATTCCGTCGATCAGGTTGCTTCTCCATGCCTGTTTTAACGTCGTCTCTTTATCGTTTTGGATTTTGTTTTGTGTTTCACATCCACGGGTAAACGAGTTTATAAGTATATTTTATATTATAAGGGTGCTATCTACAGTGTGACGAAATTCCGGCTGCAAATCTCGAATTATTCTATATTATTTACAACCAACAGTTTTAGCATCGCCGTATTATATTACAAATTACAATGTTGCAGTGGCGAAACTATAGTATTGATCACCTCCTAAGCTCCGACCACAAAATACTTTATTATTCACAGGTTTTTCTTGGTATCTAGGAATAAACTGTTTCACACGCATTTACTCCCGTTAGTTAAAATATGGTCTGTGTGGATAAGTTTAGAAAATCCGATGAAAATCTTGATTAAATAATCACGTAATGAGATGTATGATAATTTGTAGACCTACAAAAACACCCTGATTATAACCAACCCTAACATTTTTTGTAGTGTCTATAAGGTTATAACGTTATAAGTTATAACTTATAAGACATAAATATCGTGAATTATAGTTGGGCATTTTTTCATAATGTAACTGTATAGTGTATAGTAATGCGAAATAGTTTTGATGTTACTATCAATATCGTAATTAATTAAGATCACGACGTCACCGCACCGAAAGTTGTCGGTATACTGTAAAACATGAACATCAAAGGATGTTAGGCTATGATTACACCAGTGTTACACAGACACGCGCCTCCCGATTAATCCCACAACGACAACGCGCTGCGACAAATATATTATTCTTGATAATTAACTAATAAAAAAATATTTGTTATTATTAAGGTATATACAATCTAATAGTTCATTCCACCTTCAAGTTTCAGAAAACAGTTTATAGGCACAAAACTACTCGGACTGATTTTAATAACAATTTGAAATTGTTCTTAAACAGTGGCGTGGCGTATATGGGAATAAATTTCGGGGGGGAGGGGTTGAACCCCTAAAACTTCCCTATATAAGCCACTGTTCTTAGATACATCAGGAAAGTTTAGAGTAGTTTGAACCACGTTCGAAATATACCAAGTGCTATATTCAATCTCAGTCGAATAATTAGTACACCGGTCACCGACGCCGATTTGTCCATGAACTGAGTTACACTAAAACTGACATACCTATAAGTAATAAGTATAATATAATATATAGTAACGTATTTTATATTCAACTTCGCCCGTGAAAAAAATAAAATTAGTTTATTTTTTTCACTGGCGAAGTCGAATTATACAGCTAGTATATTGTAATTATTAACTATCATTAACTTTTTACAAAATATGAAATATGATTCAAAATCATATAGTATCAAAAAAGGTTGTATTTTTTGAAAAACGTTTTCAAAAAATCGAATTTTGCCTCTCAGTATGGTAATTTAAAGGACACCCAATAAAATGTATAAACCAGCAAAGTATTAGTGTATTATATTAATTATCATAACCACGCGTTTGAATCATAATATAATATTATGTAGCGACGATATAGGCATAAAGCGATAAACGACACATTATGTCCTATAGTTTATATTATATATTTCAAATTTTAACACGTTACGAGTTATTATGATAATGTGCCACGGTCCTCTATATACATAATACAGTGACAAAAAAAGAGTAGATATATTAGATAACCCTTAAAAAAAATGTCTTGATCTATAAAAAAAGTGGAAAACAAGTAAGCTACGTAGTATTAATCAGGGTTTAAACTAATATTATTTTGAAAATATTTTTTATTAACTAATTGTTATATTTCATTTAAAAATATATAATTGTATTATTTAGGGTATTTTAAAAACAGATCTCAAGTCTCGACGTAGTAAAAAAATCAGAGTTATTACTACAGTGGTAAAAATTGTTTATAATTAGTTGGTTTTGAAATTGATGCCAAAAAAAAAAAGAGATGTACAAGAATTATATAATAATTAATACACCCTAAGCCTCAATTAATTATTGCAAGTACTTATATTAAGTAGATATTAAATATTCCTATAAATTCTGCTAATCGCAAACGTTCTATTTATAAACGCAAATAGTGACATTTTGGCTAAGAATAAACAGTATGTTAGGACTCAGGAGCATTTATTGAATTAAAAAAGTAAGAAAATAAGTAAAAATAAATATTATAAAATAATTAATATTTTTTTTCTTTGTCATTTGAAAGCACATAATTAGCTATATGAAGGGGCGCAAGGGTCTGCTCAACCTATACGACTCTATCCTCCCTTTGCTGAACCCACCCTCACAAATTTTGTAAGACTCCTCTACAAATAGGTTGCAAGGTCTACGGGGAAGGTGCGCAAAGCTATGTTATAAAAAGTTATTGTATTATTTTCATTGTTGAACCTCTCGGTCTCATATGCACACGGCCGCACGCTGGTATGTTGTTATTTTTTGTTATCGTTCGGATTTTCGGAACATTACCGAGTGGAACAAATATTTCGTTTTTTGGTCCGTCGACGATAAGTACGACATAACTGCTGATCAATGACGACTGTAGTGTCCGGCGACCGGCGTAAAAGGTGAATAATTCGTTTGAATCGATATATTTACGAGATTACATAATATAATCACGAGTCATATCTATAATTACGATTACAGTGGAATCAAATGGTCTTTTTAAAATGTTTTTCGTTTATTTAAAACAACCGCATTGCACACACTGGAATGTCGATTGTTTTAAAATAAATTGTCCCATTGTGAGTGCAACGTGACACGTTATATTGTTTAATATAGACACTGACACTAAAAAATACAGTAAAGTATTAGTAGAAATAGAATACATCCAAATCGCCGTTTGCACACCGTAGACATATTAAATTATAATGTATAATAATAATTGCCGTATTGCGCCTATTTTATACATATGGGCGGCCAGGTATGTCATACGGTGCACAGTGTGGTACGATAAATGTATTATTATTTATTATAAAATAACAACAAATCGCGTGCTTCAGCTATATCTGTACCTATCTACAGTACATGCCACATTGCCATCTAAACACTCTGAATGCCAAATCAAATTCACAATAAGTACATATAAAAAGACATATAATATGAATAATGATTATTATTTTTCCACGATATCTGTGTCAGTTCGTGATAACTCGAACAATAGTAAGCTTATATTAACTCTACATCATAGATTAGACATATTATTTTTATGTTGTGTACTTGTGTAGTCGCCACATTGGCCACCGTAAGCTACCACTGGTCACAGACACGATCTTGATTCCTGTCGATTTCTTGCATTTTGTTTACTCGCGTACGTCCCTTTTTGAATTGTAGAAGCAAAACGATGCAGGCGCACATCGCACATGTGCATTGTGACATTATGTGTATGTCGTATGTTATATATTGAAATAGTGATGTAAACGTTATTTCACGTTACAATAACCTATAATACCTGATTGGTGTCGTACCTATATTTTAAGCAATGTGTGAGAGCTGCAGGGAAGAAACAGTTAACGATACACACGAAATAGAACAACTACAGAGGTTGGCGTTAAATATTTTATCTGAATCACAACCACACGTCTGCACTCTGTACAGAATACAGTAGAATCACTCGAAATCGAAGGTGAATTCGTTACGATAATTTGAATGATCATAGTTTTGATAGTTTTGTTTTTGTAAAACTTATATTAACTATTACCTATACTCTATAGTATTATGACATTATGTAGATACCTACCCACTCTATCAGCCGATTTTCTTTTTCGCTCTACAAAGTACTATTCCCATTTGCCGATATCTATATTCTATACGTAGATTAGGTGCGTTGTAATTCAGAGATAACAGACAGCTCGGTAAGGATTTAACGATAATCAGAAATATGTTTTTAAGGTATACCGCAAAACAGTATATTACAAGTTCGCACGTTTCGAGTACCTACTTACTGAACGGCGTGCGTTCGAGTGAAAAACAAGTAGTAAAAAACAACCGATTACGTAAATAATTAATACGGTGGCATCATGCAAGAACGCGGAGAACGAGATACGACAACGACGGTTTACAAGATATGTATGTACTACGTGATGCGTATATAAGTACACGTAGTGCACATAATATTTTTATTGACGTCGAATGTTGATGCTTGGTCGATTCGTAGCAAATAATATTGTAAAGACGATAACAACAATAAATAATAATAATTAATAAGTCAATGTCGGTGCGAAAAAATGATATTATTCGATGTTGTATTGACTGACAACACATAATACAAAATTGTACTATAATAAATAATATTAATACTGTTACTACAACGGCGGCGGCGACCGGTTACACCACCGCCCTCGACCTGTTGCGCATGGGCAGGGTTAACATTATTTAGTATCAGTGGTATCGGTGACGGCTTATCAACGCGGTCGTGTGTGTTGTGTGTACGAACTACGAAGTTGAAATTTGAAACACAATATTATTTTAATACAATATTGAACTACGCAATTGTAAACCATAATCGCGATAAGTGAGTAAAAAATGTCAAACTTCGGCTTACTTGGACGTAAAGGCGGCGGATGTGTCTTGCTCTTGATGCCGGATGTGGCGGCGGCGGTGGTAGTGCTGGGGGGCGCCGTCCAGCGTACGCCATCGTCCGCGCCGGATCTGACCTGTTGAATGCCCGCCATCGTCGTGGGTGAACGCGTTTCCTCTCAATCACCGACTACGTCCGCGGCGGCCACCGTCGTCGCTGTGGGAGCAACGACTACACTTCTCGGCTCTCACCGAGCGGCCGTGTGTGTCAGTGTCGCACACGCGCCAGCGCGCGCGCGCGCTATCCCGCTCTCGCGTCTACGGTCGCGCGGCGGACGGTGGCGATCTTTTACTTTTATTTATATTCCTGATTTTATTTTTTTTTTTTTAGAGTGTGTTCGATAACTCTCCCGTTCTCCACACAGATGATCACTCGACTGGTTTTCGGTGCCCAAGCACGGACGAGAGAGCACGAAAAGGGGAACGAGTGCTCACAGCCCACAGGAACGACGACCGCCAGTGGACGGTGGTAGCTCTATGTCCCGCGCACGACCGACCGCGACGGACGTCGTGGACCGCACTTGTCGTACGTGCTGTTCGCGGCCAACGACGACGAGACCAAATGCGATTTTAAACGAATTTGAATATATTGGATTTTGAGAAAAAAAATAAAATATACCTACGAAAAACTTCTATCGAACGGCGGGGTGAGGGAGACGATGTAGAAGAAAATCACACTCGTTCGGGAGACGTCAGCTCAGCTCGCGATCTGAGTACGGACGTACTATGTGCGTGCGTGTATTATACGTATTAACGTATGTGTGTGTGCGTGTAACACTTGCACAATACTACCGGCGGCGCTGCCGAACGTGTGCGTATCTGTGTGTGCGTGCCGACTACGTGTACGTACGTACGCGCACACACTCGGAGCGCTCGCCATCCGCGGCCCTCCCGTCCGCCAGCTCACACAATAGCAACCGTCCGCTATGAGTGGAGCGGGCCCCCACTAACGCCGCCACCGGTTCGTGCTCGGGGTGCCCGCGTTCCGTCGGTGTGGCTTGTTCTTAACGGCGAGCAGGGGGGAAAGCCGTAACTGAATTGTGGCGGGACGGGAGCGAGGGACACGGGTGTGACGGCGGCTGTCGAATCAACCGGACGAGATAAACGTTTAGCACGGAGCGATACGCGCTGTGCGACGGCGACGACGGTTTCACGAGCAGGCCGGTGGTGGCCATGGTGGCGGCGGCGGCGGTTTAGGTTGAACGGCGATCGGAGTCGCAGCGGTGCACAGTCGGGTTGAGGGAACTCAGCTGTTGCCGCCGCCGCCAGACGGTCGTGCTAATAATATTATTATAAACGTGTATCCGGTCGGCGGCGACGTGACCGCTCCCGGTGGCCAAGACCAGTTGGCATACAACTCGTGATGTCCATCTACAAATTATTGTATAATAAATTAATATACATTAATACACCAAAAAAAGGTTTTTTGGGCATACTTATAAGTTAAAATGTGTATGTGTAATAAAAGTGTTGATCGTTGTGCTCTTACGCTTATCATTATTAACAAACAGAATTAGTACCTACATGTGCTGACTACTCATTGGAGATGAAAAAGAAAAACTATCATAACTCTTTTCAGAATCCAGAGTATATTATAACATATTTATGTAATTTTGAAAATGTGATCCTAAATTACACTTCGGTACCTTAGCCCTCCCAACCACTGTAAAAATTAATTTTCCTCATTGTGTCGAATATTATACTGTACTTCAGACAATAACCGAAAAGTATCTATACTTTAATAACTATACGTCTTATTCAAAAATTTAGAATTTGAAGTTACGGTTGGTTGGCAATCAATAATTGATACTTATAGAGTTATGAAGGAAATAAAAATTGTTTTTATACAAAACAATAATAGCAACATTAAGTTTAATTATAAATTATAGTAGATTAATATAAATTGAAAGTAGAAACTATATTTTACTAATTACTAGCTGACTATAAAAAAAAAATTGCCGCGCATTATTACCTACGCGCTAGTTTTAGAAACCCTAATGAAAAACACCACGAGGCGCGTTAGCATCGAGTCGCTGTTGCTATGAAACGCACTATAGCTATCACCACGATTAGACTATATAGTCTATCTTAACGTGCTATCACTGATCCTGCACAGAGTTGCGCCCATGACAAACTAACAAATTAAATTTACCACAAATTAAGGAAAATCGGGAATTTGTTCGACAAAATCGATTTTTGTTTTTGGACTTTTGGTGTGAAATTTTTGCTGAATGTTGATATTAGCATTTTCTTTACACCACAAAATTTTCAAAACTGACTTGTTTTGAGCTGTTTACGGACATTTTCAGTTTCCAATTTTTTAGTTTTTTTTCTTTAAATGTCAATACAATTTTATTCGTTGGGTCAAAAAGCTTGGAAATTTAATACAATAAGGCTCCTAATATATTGTTACAATGGTAGTTGAAAAATATTAAAAATACATGGTAGTCACAATTTTTTTTTTATGAGTTTTAAAGTTTGACAAAGTACGTAAAAATGTACACGAAAATGTAAAAATTATTTTGAGTTAGAAATTTCTAAAAAGTTTCTTTTTAAAAATAAGATTTGAAAATGTAATACAAGGTTTCTCATAACTCATAAGTTTAACTATACCTTTATCAAAAAAAAAATCTCTGTAAATGTAAACACAGGTACCTCAATTTAATTTAAAATAATGTACAATCTTAATATTACGATGGAACGAAGTCCATATATTATTATATTATACCTAGGTATATAATATGTACAATTAATACAATGTACTTGTACTACAATAAACTTAATTATTATATCAATAATTTATGTTTAATTTCCATAATATACATATTAATAAATATTGATATTATTATAAAAAAATACTTATTTTTAAATGGGATTTGTTGGTCAGTTATCATAGACTTCAAAAACTTTTTGGCCACCCTCTTATTTTATCAAATTATACCATCTAAAAAGGTAAAAAAAATAATACATCAATTTATGCATATTTTTTATAATATTTAAAGGTAAATAAATTGTTATAGAACTATGTACCGGGTGATCCATCTTACGTTCGGCTTAGACACTTTTTATTTCAAAAACTTTAAAGTTTAAATGTTTTTGAAAATATATCTTTAACATAATTTTAAGTCTATAAAAATTTATTTTAACTTGGTACTTTTTATCGTTATTATTTTGAAATTGTTATTTTCTTTAATGGAAAAATGCGTTTTTAATTCCATATTATTCTAAAGCAGAAAATGTTTTTGCAATATAAGGTAGGTACTTCGATATATTATAAAAATCAAATTTTGGACGAGTAATTTATAAGTTATAACCTATAAGTGTTTAATTATTTGAAGATTAAATGCGGAGTGGAGTGCTAGATACTGGGGTAACTCGAAAAACTCTACTGACAACTCATTTAAACTATACTTGTCTGAAATTTAATTTTCATAAATCTAAATACTCCGAATAATATCATGCTTCGAAGTATAAAATTTAAAATGTAGGAATGTTGTCATTCAAAAGAATAAAACACTTGGTAACGATAAAAAATAGTTTTTTTTTCCAAAAATGTTCATTTGTAACGACTTAAAATTATGTAAATTAATATTTTCAAAAACGTTAGTGTCTTGTGAAATAGTGTCTTACGTTATATGGGTCACCCCGTATTTAATATATAACCTATATTTTATTAGTAAGATAACGCGAAGATTAGCTTACCGGCCAAAACTAAAGCTCACACTTGTGCAGTTTTTTTTACTTAATATGTAATATTATGTATTTATGTGACGCAATATTTAAACATTGATTTTTTATGATGCCTATCACTCAAATTGAGTAATAATACAATATAAATCATTAAATCCATATTCTAAATAAACATCCGTTATCCGTACTAGACTGAGTAGGTACTTACATATTTTATTCAACTACCTACCTACTGATAATTATTAATTATCGTGTTTGATAAAATATCTATAATAATGTCCAATAAATCATAAAAATCAAACAAAACTGGTAACTTTTCGAGTCTATTTGATGCCAGTAATAATAGGCAGTTATATAATTTTATTTTGTATAATCGTATTCTTATTTAAAACTGTATTAACTTAGGTAGGTATAATCTGTTGACTGTTATAATTCGTAGAGATGTGACTCATTTGAGTTTGTATTATACACTAATACAGTGCCACAGTGGAATAAAACTGTTTTAAAGAGACGGTATAAAAAAAAATAAGGCGTTATTTTTAGTTATTTTGTCATATAGGTATAAAATTATTATTATTTATTATTGTCATTTATTATTGTAACATGTTGTTTTACCGTTGCGTTTTCATTCTAAAAATATCCATAGCTGCGTAATTTTATCCTTATCGACTTTATCAAACTGTATAGGTATTGCCTAGATCATATTATATAATATGTATTATAATTTATATGATCTATGGTACATAAATTGTTATTTACGTTATTGTATATTCTGATATTCTAGATATTAATTAATAAATAATAATCATTATTCAGTACCTACTAACTAATATCTTCTGGCGGTTGCTACTTACCTACGTCCTACTTGTTTTGTTAGTCTGGAAATGGGTGGAAATCCATTAAAATGTCATTGTTAATGTGAGGGGAGGGCTTCGATCCTACAAAACTAAAAAAGGAGGGGCTTGACAGACTTGGGGGGCTAAGCCCTCTGAATGAGTTTGAATTAGGTTAAACTTAAAAATGGGTATGCCATCCTAGCAAAAACAAATATAGGTATAATATACTAATATAGGTAACAATGAGATACTTAGTATATACATTTTAAGTATTAAGTATAGTTTTCTATTTATTACTATTTAAAAATTCAACGTAAAAAACAGATATCCTAATATTTATTTGAACTTTTTAAAGATTAAATAATTTAGCATATATATTTTTTTTTATACTAAATTGATGGTATTAAATATAAGAACTTAGTACTTGCAAGATGTAAAAAATGTGGAACTGTTCCTAGTTGGCAGATAATAAGATTACTCAAATCCTAATTTATTATGAAATGTATTAAAAAAATGTATATGATATTTTAAGAATATAATTTACTATGAAATATGAATTGTAATTAAAATATTTTAAATTTAAATTAGTTCTAATCACTAAGTTTATGGTACCATAATTAAATATTAATTTTGTGAATTTGGTCTAAAATAATATACATATATAATCCACTATATACTTACGACATACCTACCACCAAATTATTTTTTGGAGACTTCACAATATTATTACAAACATTACTATTGATAATTTTACAAGTAACTATGTACTAGTTACTATATACTAGTTACTAGTACCTATACCACTATCAATACATTTTTAAATCATATGATTATAATATTATTATTATGATATCAATATAGTAACATACAATTTATAAAAAAAAGGGGGGTCTATAAGTGGGTAACGCTCTGCTGTCTCTGCAATGAATGTGTTATAAATTTGAATTCAATAATCGTTATATTATACGAAAAACGATTTTGTGCGAAGCCTATAATATTATTACTATTTTATATTTTATAATATTAATGCGATTAAAGTAATTTATTTTGCAATTATTAGGTATATTAGTACCATAGTAGAATACATTTTTTTCGCCAAAAAATGTCATTGAGTGCATACTGTATAGTGTATGCAAAATAATAATGTAGGTACTCTAAAAATCTCAAGTACCCACGAATAATATTTTTTAATTTTTCTTAAGGATCTTTAAAATTTATAAAATACTATTATAACAACTATTAAAGGAATCTTGTATTAAATAAAAAATAAAGTGTTTATTAAAAAATAATATATTTAATTAATATTATACATTAATCCCCATATTAAACTCCTAACCCTCCTCTATATACACCTCTGTGCGGTAAGATGGAAAATTATTACTAACCTAGCTATAGGTACCTACTTAGTAAAAAAAAGTTTATTCTCAAAGTTGTATTCATATATTTCTAAACTAATATTATAAATGAACGCCAAAACGAGTTCGTTTAAAAAAAATAAAAATAAGATGAATCTTGACGAGTTCTTTTAAACAAAAATGTAAAAGACTTAAATTTTCAGTTGAAATTTTTACGAATTCTTAACTCAAAATAATTTGCTAATTTTCGTGATTTTTTCATAATTTGTCAATTTTTGAACTTTAAATGCTTATAAAAAAAAAAACTGTGGCTAAGGATTTTTAATATTTTGCAACTATTATAACAATATGTAAGGAGCCTTGTATTCAATTTTCAAGCTTTTTTAATCAACAAATAAAATTTAATTGATATTTTTAGAAAAAAAACTAAAAAAAAAATGGAAAATGAAAATGTGCCTGAACAGTTAAAAATAAATCAATACATTTTGAAAATGTTATCGCGTATAGAAAATGCAAATATAAACAACTAGTTAAAATTTCATGTATATACGTTAATTTGTTTTAGAGTTACACCAAAAACCAAAATCGATTTTTTGCGTAAAAATTCCCGTTTTTCCTTAATTTTTATGTTGTTTTTCCCGGCGCTTGTGAAAACTACTTGGAAATTTTTACTTTTGACCCCACAAAGTACCAACTAGATTCACTTTCCTATCAGAAAAGATACTGTTGAAGAAAATCCAGCACTTTTACTGTCCTAAAACGTGATGACAGACACAAAAAAAAAAAAAAAACATTCACATCATTGTAAAATCAATACATTCATCTTTCCACTCAGAATCTAAAATTCCTAATAGTTTTCGAAAGCGCAAGGAAAAAGAAAAGAAAAATTAAGGAAAAACCGACAAAAATTGTTACTTTAGCAGTTGAAAAATATTAAAAATACATATTTTTTTTTTTTTTTTTTATTTATTTGAAGAAATCTACAATCTATACATGCTTTTTGTACAATAAGTAGGTTTGATATAAGAAAGGTAAAAATATGATATGATTAGTTAGATTAGGGAAGATACCCAGTGGTAACACCCTATGACATGAATAACAATGAAGAGAGAGAGAAGAGAGAGAAAAAAAATATATATATAGTTATATAATATAAGACAGTAAATAAGTAATTAATTTGAGGTTTGGAGGTGTTACCTGGTAGCGACCTCCAGCACTTATTAAGCTCACTTTTCAAAGAAGATCTCTACACCATTGCCTTTTTAGTCTACGGCGCGGGTTACCAGGGAGTGAGTTGGTTGATAGTTTAGAGATTAGTGGATTTGTGTGATGTTGAAATTTGTTGTGGAGTCTGGTGTAATATAGTTTGGAGATTTGGTTAAGATTTTGGATTTTGAGATCTTTGTGGAGATTATTGTTGGTTAAGTACCAGGGTGCTGATGCAACTAGGCGAAGGCATATTGACTGAAAGGCTTGGATTGTACGGGTGTTTGAGGGTTTAGCGGCACCCCATAATTGGATGCCATAAGTCCATAGTGGCCTGAGTAGTGACTTATAAATTAGAAGTTTGATGTTGATATTCATTTTGGATTTCAGTAAGGGTCTAAGGAGGTGGAGTCGGGTATTAAGGGCTTTTCGTTTGGCTTTTAGGTGGGGATTCCAGGTAAGTTTACTGTCGAGGATGAGGCCAAGATATTTGACTTCAGAGTAGGAAGGTATTGGGATGCTGTTTAATGTAACTACGGGGCAAGATCCTTTTTTTAGGGTGAATGTTATGAAGGAGGACTTGGTTTCATTGATTTTGATCTTCCATCTTTTTGTCCAGAGGTCAATCATGTTAAGGTGTCTTTGTAACATATTAGAAACTGTGTTTGGGTTTTCATTGGAGGCCACAATTGCCGTATCGTCCGCGTAGGAACCGAGTTCAGTAAAGGAAGTTTTAGGGATGTCGTGCGTAAAGATATTGTACAGAAAAGGAGCAATATCGCTGCCTTGGGGAACTCCGGCTAAGATATTGAAATAGTTTGAGTGGCTCGAGTTCTGGCGTACGAAAAAAAAAAAAAAAAAAAAAAAAAAAAAATACATATTTAGGCACAATTTTTTTTGTAAGCATTTAAAGTTCGAATTTTGACAAAACTTAACAAATATAAATTTATAATAACTATTTTGTAGTTAAAAATTTTGTAAAATGTTAAATTTCTATAACTAAGCTGCTAAGGATTGAATATTTAAAACAAGATTCCCCGTAAATAGGTTATAATGTATAAATTACTTTATTCACAATAATATCATCAAATATATCTACTTAGTAATACCATAGGCTGACTGACCGTCTTCGCTCAGAATCGTTTTTCTTATCAATGACATTATTATATCATTGAATTCAAATTTAACACCATCAATGCCGCCCACTTGCCCACCTTTTTGTTATTTGTATTTTGAATAATTTTTTGTTCGTTATTGTTCAGTAGCGATGCAACCGAGGTGTCAGGTGGAAGTAAAACTACCGTGGTTTCCAAATCAGTTGCGATAACACATAAAAAAGGTATTAAATATTAATAATGTTATTCATAAATTTTCCTGATATTTAGTGCCGATTTTTTTTTTCTACTTATTATTAGATGATAATATATTATCTTGGTAAATACTTAGGCACTTAATATTTATATAACAAATAAGAAACTAATATTGATACCTACATACATAATTTGACGGAATGAAAAATGTAAGGTCCAGAAAGTGTGAATATGTATAGTAATTTTTTTAATTATTTAATATACATTTTACATACCTATAGGCTATAATATATTATTTTACATTAAAATTTAAAATTTGATTATAACACGAACAATAAATAAGTAAAATATAGATTTCTAGCCTTCTAGGGCCATTATTAATATTTAGCTTCTGAATACAATACATATAAACTAAAAAATATTTTGTCAAAATCTGAAAGTGATTGTTTAATTTTTACTTCATAAAATACAATATTTATAAATCAAAAATAATATAATATTAAGTAGGTATTGTAGCTAGTATAATAATTTAATAGATATTTCGTGAAAATCTAATAAATGTTTATAAATATTATGCATTGAGGGGCCCACGGGGCTAGTTTTTCAAATTTTCCACAATTCTATAAATTTTGAAAATAAAATTTTATATTTTAGTTGCCACCTTAAGTATAATACTTTTCCACTAATCTACTACCCATCTATTTAGGGGGAGGGGGGTGGTTGATAGGTGTATTAATATATTATTAAATATATAATTATATCGAAAAAAATGACTTCACGGGAATAATTCTCAGGCTTTGTTGAATTATCGGATTTTGATAACTATTTTTTATCTGAAAGAAGAAGACTTTCTACAGGCCTCAGATTTTATTTCAAATAATGGTATAATATAATTTATAAAAAACGCTTAAAATTATATTATTTTTGAAGATATATTATAAAGTTTGAGTTTAAAATATTGTAAAACAGAGTTCAATATATTATTAGTTTATTAGTTCTCCTCTATAAGTTTTAAAATAAAATCATCAAATTTGGTTGATTTTACAGAACAGGATCATTATTCCCGTAGAGCATATTTTCATGTACAAAATTACATTGGCACCAAAAATAACCACTCATTATGTTTGTGGGCTTGTGGCAAAAATCAAATGCATATAATATATCTGCCGTTGTATATTGATTAAAAATAAATATTTTATTAGCCATTATTAATTTTATTACTATTTACTGGTATTAGGTAGGTGTATGATACATTGGGAAAACAAAAAAAATCTTTACACATAGGTAAGTATAATATAAAAAAATTTAATACTAACATTAATCATAAATACAATCTATAATCAATGCCATAATTCATAAGGTACTGCATGAAAAATATTAGAAGTTCATTTTCATGTTAATAACTATAAAAATAAAATTTAACAAAAATATTTGAATTTCCAATTTTTTTTTAACACAATTTAATCAAAATTTAAAATTTAAATCAATGAAACTAAACATATTTCATTAATATATTTGTTTAGTTCCTTACATGTTCACTAATATTTAAAATTATCTAGCAATGTGAACTTTACTTTTTTAACTTTTAATGATGATTTTTCATCATTCCATGTGGATGCCCAGTGATTCCTGTCCTTCCAGAAATTTAACATAGCCTAAAATATTTAAAAAAAAATTTACTTTACATATTATATAGAAAAATACTAAATGTGAATAATAAAGAAAAATGTAAACCTTAATATCAAAGTTTTTCCATGGTTTTAAGTGGCTATTGCTTAAACATCCATCACGGAAATTTGTCATACCACCAACTGATACACCAATAGATATAAAATACTAAAAATTCAAAATTCAAAGTTAAAATTATTATAATAGAATCATACACAATAACTGTAAATATACTTCAGAGTCAAATATTAAGTCTAATGGTAGATTTGATGTGTCCAATTGGTGACTTTCTCCATCAATTTTAAATACAATGTTTTCAGGAGACCAAGACAAAACAAATGTATGATAGTCTTCAGACCAGCGATTTGTTAAAGTTGATTTCATCATAACTGGTTTTAAATGATATTGTTCATCCATTTTTAATCCATATTTTAGAACAGAAATACTTTCGTCTTCGCCATTACATTTTAAATCATTATTTCCAAATGATGTACCCAATACAAATTTGTTTTGTTCATTAGTTTTACTAACCAAAGCTATTTCTATTTAAATTTAATTAAAAAAAAAAAAAAAAAAAAATTAGAAATCATCAATAAGACAAGAAATTACTAGAATGGTTAATTTAGCTGATATTTTAATATATTTTAGTATTATTATTTACCTGGCACTATCCAATCTCCTGTTGGGAATTTAGCTGTTACTTCTAGTTGTCCGTAAAGGAATGCCATATTATTTTTTGTGGTAAGTCTAGATGAAACTATTGGAGGTATTATATTATAAGATGAAGCATTCATAGAGCAACCAGTAGATCCTTCATATTTTGTACACCTAAAAAAACAAAAATATAGAACATAAAATATTAGTTTGTATTTTTAATCATACATTTTGTTTAAATTTTAAGTAACTATAATATGGATACCTACCCCTTCAGTACTAAACAACCATTCTTGACATAATTATCTGATAGAATTGTAGGTTTGATTACTAACTCTCTATTTTTGATAAATGTGTTCTTTTCAGAATTATTGTAAACAACAAATTCATAATCCTACAATCAATATTTAATATAATTATAATTTTTTTTTTTTAATTTTCATTAGAGGTAATTACATATGATATATCTATTGATCTAATAAATTCCAATTTTCAATATTTGCTTGGATATAATATTATAAACTATATTCAAATTATGAACTATGATTTTTACAAGCTTATGGCAGTACTTTCCCAATAGGTATTTATATCAGGGGCGGACTGGGCCGAAGGGCAAGTAGGTGATCCCTCCCTGGGCTGTTATGATTGCGGGCCCTCACAGGTTTATTGGGCCAGTGGACCGTGATTATTTTGTCAGTAGGTACCTACTTTATGCAATCTATAAAACTGTAGCTTCCCTTCTAATCCCTACTAATCCTTTCTGTCTAAGCTAATCCGCTAATGCCATTACAAAATGTATATTTGTGTAATTTTTGGGCCTTTACCTATGATTGCCTGGGCTGATTTTTTACCCCAGTCCGCCCCTGTAATATACTTGCTTAATGCTGTTTATATTTTTCAACCATCTATCATAAAAACTATTATCCATAAATTATAAACCAAGTCTTAACTCATAAGAATTATTTAAATTACATTATATTTGAAGAAAAAACAAACAATTGATAAAAGTTTAATATTTTAATTTTTTAAACATAAAATGTTGTGCGAATGCTTTTTATGTTACACATTTATTTATTGTCTCTTATACATATAATATAATATAAAATTAATGTTCTGCGTTTCCAATACAGTTTTGTTGTTTTTAATATTACCTAAGTTTACCTCTTATCAAACTTAAATACAATAACATTAGGTATGCTTGTTCTCTAGTCGGGTCTTCAATTTAATAACTTTTAAGTAAGGTATAAGTTATACCTAAGTAGTAGATGCAATAAAACAATTTTAAAATGCCTTATTTAAGTTTGATAATAGCCAATATGTAAATTAGCTGAAAAAATATAGCATCAAAACTGAATTGGTAAGTAATGACTTAGTAATGAATAATGACTAACAACTAACGAGGAATATACATTTATAGTACCTATGTTATGTGCATTGTGTATTGTAAGACTGAGTAGAGACAACAAATTAGTTTTCAGATTATTAATTTTGAATTTTTTTACATACTGGTTCTTGTGCAATATAAATATCATGACTCCAAATCGATTCCAAATTTAAAGTATCAAATTCGTCCACCAAATCATTTGAACTATTTGTATTTGGTATGTTGATACTAATCACTTCTATAACATATACATAAAAATGTATATGTTTTATCAAAACTATATAATAAACAATGTGGAAATATTACTCATGAGATCATATATTTGAATTCTGTCTTCACCACCACATGTTTTACTTGAATCACCCGCACAGGGTGTATCACAATCAGATTTCAATACTTTTTGGTCATTTTCTGGCGCACGATTACCACAGTAGCAATTAATGCTACAACAATACAATTTATTAAAAATAAATATGATTCATAGTTATAATGTAGTAAAATAATATTTTATGTAATACAAATAATATTTTAGTACCCTAAGACTCCTGAAAATTGATATCCACCATTATTACAGATGGCAGAACATTTACTAGGCATATTAGTATTAATAAGTTCAAATTTTATATTGTTTAATGTGTTTTCCTGCATTACAAAACAACCTAAAAGCCGACCTTCAACTTGAAAATCTGTTGAAATATAAATAAAATATAATTATACAACTCATTGATTTGTAGATGGGTATCTAAATATTGTATTTATCCTAATTAAAATGTGTGTAAACCTAGTTTCTATCGAATATTAATAAACTATAATAATTTTTATTTTAAAAATTACCATTTAATCCAGTTGAAAATACTCCCATTCTCCAACCACCACCACAGAATTGATTAGCATCACCTGAGCACTTAGTATTGCATTGTTTATCTTCCACTCTAGGAAACTTAGGTTCACTTGGTGATTGGCTTCCACAAAAACATTCAGATTTATATGTTACTCCAGAGTAAGTATACCCAAATTTGTAACAAAGGTTTGAACAAAATTCTGGGGTATTCACAGTAAAGGATCGTGAGTAACCATTAAATATTCTGTTATTTTGACTTTCCTCATAACACCCCAGATAATTATTTCCAATTGTATCCGTTTTCCATTCTAGTCCAGTGGTGTATACATTTATAGCATTATTGCCACCGCATGTATGTTGAGATGAACCAGAACAAGGAATCGTACACATAGCATCCTCTGTTTTAGCCTCATAAGAAGGTTTTGTAGAAGTGCATAAGCATTCTTTCCTACAAAAGAATTCCACCATCAAAATAAGAATAAGTTTATATATTTTAATAATTATACTAATTTTATATTTTATATTGAAACTGTTTAATGAACTACCTACTCTACTTTTTTGTATATAACCTACCTAGTAGGTATAACATTATATAAATGTTGATCAAAATACTTAATTAATATGAGGTTAGACGATATAACAATTTTGATCAAGTTACCATTGATATATAATGTTACCCTTGAAAATATCAATTAAATTTTATTTGTTAGTTAAAAAAGCTTGAAAATGTAATACAAGGCTCCTACTATATTGTTACAATAGCATTTGCAAAATATTAAAAATCCTTAGCCACAGTTTTTTTTTATAAGCATTTAAAGTTCAAAAATTGACAAAATATTGAAAAATCAGAGTGAATACTCGATTTCTCATAAAGTGATTTTGTTATTTTGTTGTAATTCAAAAACTAATTAACTGTAGATACATTAAAATTTCACTGAATGTTTATATTAGCATTTTCTATACACCATACAATTTTCAAAATATTTTGACTTGTTTTGAGCTGTTTACAGGCAATTTCATATTTCAATTTTTTTATCCTATGAATATCAATAAAGTTTATCTGTTTGGCCAAAAAGTGTAAAAATGTAATATAAGGCTCCTGATATATTGATACAATATCAGTTGAACAATATTTAAAATACATATGTACAATTTTTTTTTATAAGCATTTAAAGTTCATAAATTGACAAAATATGGAAAAATCACGAAAACTAGCAAATTATTTTGAGTTGAAAATTCGTAAAAATTTTTATTTTTAAATCTAAGATTTGAAAATGTAATACAAGATTACTCATAAGTTTGTCTACCTTTATCAATAAAAAAATCTCTACCGGAAAGTCAAATTAAATTTTTATGAGCGTTTGAAATTCAAATTTTTACAACATTGGATGTTCACTCGATTTCTCATGTAGCGATTTCCTTATTTTGTTGTGATTCAAAAACGAATAACTGTAGATACATAAAAATTTCACTGAATGTTTATATTAGCATTTCCTATAAACCATACAATTTTGAAAATATTTTGACTCTTTTTGAGCTGTTAACAGACATTTTAATTGTTCAATTTTTTTAGTTTTTTTTTCTATAAATATCAATAAAGTTTTATCTGTTCGGCCAAAAAGTGTAAAAATGTAATACAAGGCTTCTGATATATTGTTACAATAGCAATTGAAAAATATAAAAATAAATAGGCACAATTTTTTTTTATAAGCATTTAAAGATTGAATTTTGACAAAATTTATCAAAATCTCGAAAATTATTAATCATTGTAATTAATAAACTATAAAATGTTCAGTTTTTATGGTTAAGGATTGCAAATTTAAAACAATGGTTCTCATAAATAGTTCATACTGTAACCAAAAAATCTAAAAAATATATGAACACAGTTATTTTTTACAAACATTTTAAATTCAAATTTGGACGAAATTACATATTAAAAAACCTAGAACAACTATTTTAGTTATTTTGTTGTGATTGAATAATATTATTCGTGGATACTTGAAACTTCTAAAGTTTACTACTATATATCTATGATAGTATCAGGGTTTGTTGTTGGTGTATAACGCGTTATAAGTACCTAATGGAATAATGGATATTGTGATATGATTAATTTGGGATTCATTATACGTCAATTTTTTTAATACCATAGACAAGTATATTATAATGTCTTATACCTAGAAGGACATACCGTCTCCGCTCAGAATCGTTTTTCTTATACAATGATATAATATCATTGAATTCAAATGTAATACCATCCATTATACAGTTACCCACTTGTAACCTACTGTACAGCAGAGCGACACCCACTTGCCCACCTTTTTTTAGTTAAAAATTTAAAATTTAAAACAAGTTTCCACATAAATAAGTAGTTCATACTATAATTAAAAAATCTAAAAAATAAATAAACAGAGATTTTTATAGACTTTTTAAGTTCTGATTTTAATGAAATTAGATATTTAAACAAAGAATAACAATTTTAGTTGTTATGTTGTTATGTTCTAATTTAAAAATATGCCTGGTTACTTAAAACTCTTAACATTTTCAAATGATATTTTTTCTGCAAAAATTAATTTAACCTACTGTAGTAGGTACTAATGCCTAATACAAAATAAATTACTTTTATCACAATAATATAATAATTTATACTTAGTAAATACTAATATTATAGCTATAGGCTGACAGATTGTCTTCGCTTGGAATCGTTTTTCTTATATATACAATTTTATATCATTGAATTCAAAATTTCAACTTTAACATATCCCTTACACTTTACAGTGAGTTTTTATAGACACCTAAGTTACGGTAGCGTAACCCGCTTTTTTATTTTTTTACTAAATTGAAATTTTGTTTCTAAGATATACAAATAAAATAATTATGATAAACATCATATTAAGGGAAAATATTTTTATTAATGGAAATAATTTTATTAACAGACAAATTATAAAAAATAATTTTTAGTTAAAATATATAACTATTCTCTGTTTCTGCAGTAGCTATCTAAAAAGTTTTACTTACGAAGATACAAGTGCAGCATATGGGAATCTTCTTGTGTGACAACTATATACACAATGTTTGGGTGTAAGGCGAGCATGTGATATTCTCCAACCATTTAACACTGGATGTCTCTTTAAATTGGTAAAACATCCAATAGGATTCACTGACACTTTTGCTAGAGGATCTAAATTGTATAAATGTTCAGTAAATAACTTTTTGAATTGTTATAAAATTATTTAAATATTCATACAGCCATACCCGAGTATAAAGTCTTGTAAACACTAAATGTAACACTACCACCACAATATTCAGATGGGTTTTCTGTGCATAAAGTGTTGCAATCACTAAAACTTCTTTTTAAATTATAACTTGGTTCATAGTTTTTACATTCACAGATATTTCTATAAAATATAATAATTAATAATTATACATTTTTTTAATAGTTTAAATAATTTAGAAATTAAAGATTAATGTAAATGTATGATTAATAACCTACCCTTTAACCGCAGCATATTTAAATCTATGAGTGTTACAAAGATTCATGCATCGTTTAGGACTATTATTGATATCCATGGAAAATGACAAATATTTTCCTTTTGTTTTTTTACCATCATCATCAAAGCATCCAATATATTTTTTTGGTACATAGTCTGTAAATATTATGTTTTCAATGTTACTTAACAGTAAATATTATAATATTATACAAGTATTTTTACAGCTTGGATACAATAATAAGAATAAGAATAGGTATCCAGTGGCATCATTTCAGTTTTATTAGACTAGGGCAACTTCTCCCTGCTTTTCCGACTAAAAATTTTTTGGGGGTTAAGGTGGTGAGGGGAGGGGTGGTAAATGTGCCGACTTAAAGTTGATGTAAATACTAGACTGAGGCAAATGCCCCAGATCCCCCCTCCCAATTCCCAAATTACGCCACTGTAGGTATCATTTACTATTTAAATGTTATGACTTTAAAATATAAATCCACAATAACCTGTAATTCCTGTTGAATAAATTCCCATCTTCCATCCTCCACCACAGAACTGTTTACTATCACCACTACACGGAGAATCACAATTAATATCTTCAACTTTTGCTGACTTTGCTGGTCTTTGATTTCCACACCAACATTCCGTTCTATAAATAAATGGGTACATTTATTTTATTTAAGATATAATGTTTATCTTTTAATTACATCAAACAAACTTAGTAAGTAGGTAGGTAGTTATATATAAATAATAATGTTTACAAACTATGGAATAATTTTTAAACAGCATAATATTATAGGTATAGGTATCTATATAAAAAATCAATAACAAATACAAGCTGGGGTACATTTAGGTAAATTGTAATGGAGCTTTTAATAACCTTGCAATTAATTATACGTGCATAATAAATTATACGTGATAGTAAAATATGGTTATTTTTTAAATATAATAATTAAGTTATCATAGGAAATATCATGAATGAGTGGCTCCTTTCATCAAAATAATGTTAACCTGTCATATTTTCTACTTTTAAATTTTTATCCTAATTCTTATTGTATCAAATAATACAGATTGTAAATTGCTCTTAAAAATAAAAATAAATGAGACATTTAGTACCCATATGTAACTCCAAAGAATAAATATCCCATCTTGAAACATATTTCTGAGCATTTCTGAGGAGTATTATAAGTATACGGCCCAGCTGGACCTTTTAATAAACGATTTCCATCATCATTTGGAGTTTCAGCATAACATCCTAGATAAATTGGTATTGGGTAACCACCATGTCCTATAAAATTGCTTGCTTCTGAAATTTAAAAAAAATATTATACAATTAAACATTATTAATCAATACTTCCTACACTTTAAAATTGGTTATTTTAATATGTATTATTATAATTATAAATAAATTACAATAAACAGTATAAATAAAATTATTTGTAAAAAAATAAGAATGTATCAAAGTGAAAAGCAACAAAATTAGATTTCAAAGATAAAAAGATGGACAAGTGAGTAAGCTAGTTATATAATAATATCATTGTATAAGAAAAACGATTCTCAGCGAAAACGGTCAGTCAACCTATAATATTACTAAGTATATTTGATGATATTATTGTGAATAAAGTAATTTATATCTAGCTAACAGAACTGGCCAGCAGCACGGTGTGTAATATTACACGAACCATTAGGAGCCACTTTTGACCCCCTCAGGGGCGTACTCAGGAATTTTCAATGGGGGGGTTGAACATTTTGTTTTTTATCACGGGGACTTTGTCACCTCCTTTTTACAAATATTAAATATAAACATGGTAATGTACCTACTCTACAGAAAATAAATTTCAAAAATGAAAAATGTTTATTTAAAGAACAATATTCCGATTCCGATTGATTAACGTGTTCATGTTTTCTTTTAAGATTATTGTTGGGTTCAATGTACTTAGAACTTCCAGGCACACTAGTAAAAAATGTTATTATTTTATTTTTATTTTTATTTTTATTTTTTGACTTTAAGCGTTTATGGAAAAAGAATAAATACTTAAATTTTAATACTATCATTAATATTTTTCAAAAGTATATTAAATTACTATACATTTTAATAATTAATCTGTGTGAAATAGTACAAGTAATTTTAGTATATACCTAATTTAGAAAAAACAATTAATAATTTTGATTAAGGGGGCCTTGACAGTTTTACATTCAATTTAGGGAGCCTCACGACAAAAAAAATTGAGAAATACTGTACTAGATTATAGTGTAAAATATCTAAATATAATAAATATAACTAGCTGTCCCGGTAAAAGATCATGTTTTTAATGTTGCATTTCAATTTGAAAACTACATATACATTTTTCACTGTTTATTTTTCTAACATAATTTATATTTATTGAAGAAATATATAAACAAATTTTTTGACAAAGGTTGGTTGCTCAATACACAGTCAAATATTAACCAAATATATCATAGCACATTATGTCAAAACAAGAATGATATTCACTTACAAAAGAAAAAAATGAACAAGGTGCTAAAAACAAGAAAACACCAAAAAAACTAAACAATTTTTCAAAATTAGTTTGAAGTTTATAAGATAACTATTATTGAATAATATTATAATATAAATAATATACCTAATCATAAAATAAAATATGCAAAATATTTTAAACATGTTTTTAGTTTTTTATGAGCACTAGAAAATAATACTCCACTCTACCAGACTACTATTAGAATTAGGAGTAGAATCATAATAGTTTTAATTTAATTTAAAGATTTTAAGAAGGATGCAAATATCCAAAGAAGTGACTAAATTATACATAATATTTTTTCTAATTGATGTCTACTCGATAAAAATATTGCCAATGAATAAAATGCAAATGTAATGTATAATTATAGGCTCCAAATTTATTATACCAACTCAATTAAAAAAAAAAAAACTTTTTATGATTCAATGTTTTTGTAAATACTGACTTCAATTTCAAAAAATATTAGCATTTTAATTCTAAAGTTTTAAGACATTTTGCATTTAACAGAATGAATATACAGGCCTTCGTAGGACAAGAAGCGCGCTGGTGACTATAGAACTGTGGTAATATTTTCAATCAAGAGTGTATACGTATAGGGGTCCAGAGTGACGACAACTTATCAATACACCTTGTATGTTTGATTTAAATTTTATCTGGTTATCATAATACAGTTCTTAACAGATAATGCTTGTAATCGTTGTATAATGCATGTTGATATAAAATTGAAAATAAATATATTTGTTTATTTTTTCCCTTCTTAAAAATTTTTTTTTAGAAAATTGCTCCTGTGAATTATATTATGTATAAACAAGAACGCACAAAAGTGCATCGGTTAGTAAGGTCATGGGAGGGGTTCAAACCCCACGACCCCCCCCCTTGAGTACGCCCCTGGACCCCCTCATAACTCAAAAACTATTCCACATAAACATTTCAAATGTAGCTCATATATTGAGACTTACGAGATACATATGTGCTCCAAATTTTATAAACACACCTCAAACCATTATATAGATATTAACGTCCCAAAATCGTCATTGTTATCACTGACTCACTGACTGACTGACATATAGATCAAAATTCTAACCCAGTTTCAGATGAGCTAGAAAGTTCAAATTTGGCATACAGATAGGTAGTTAAGTGAGTACAAAGGAAAAAATCAGAAACTTGTAAATTTTTAAATTTTTAAATTAATTGATTTTATTATAATTTTTCAATTATTTGATCTATTATATTTAATTCATCAATTAATTTATTAAGTGCCTCTAATTTAACGTAATGTAATGCAATATTGACTCATGTAGCTCCGCTAACCTTCCCGTATCACCACGCCAAAAATAGGTCCAGTCGAATATGTGTCGATATTGGCGACCCGTGCGCAGCAACATGCTTTTTAGATTCTGAGTGGAACGATGAATGTATTGATTTTACAATGATGTGTGTTTTTTTTTTTTTTTTATTTTATTTGTGTACACGATAAGTAATCGAAATAATGCTTCGATTTTCAACTTCAGTATCTTGTTCGATTGGACAGTGAATATCGTTGGTGTATTGAAGAGGTCAAAATTTAAAATTCCCAGTAATTTTCAAAAGGGCCAAGAAAAACAAAAGGATAATTAAGGAAGAACAGGAATTTTTACTTAAAATCTACTTTTCATCGAATTTGGTTTTTGGTGTAACATTAAAACAAATGACAGTAAATACATGAAATTTTCACTGGTTGTTTATATTTGCATTTTCTATTCACGATAAAATTTTCAAAATATTTTGATTTGTTTTGAACTGTTTAGGGACCTTTTTAGTTTAAAATTGTATTAGTTTTTTTTTCTATGAATGCCAATAAAACTTTATTTGTTGAGTAAAAATACTGGAAAATTTAATACAAGGCTCCTCCTATATTGTTACAATGACATTTGAAAAATATTAAAAATCCTTAGTCACAGTTTTCTTTTTAAGCATTTAAAGTTCAAAAATTGACAAAATATGGATAAATCACGAAAATTAGTAAATTATTATGAGTTAAGAATTTGTAAAAATTTTTCTTTTTAAATCTAAGATTTTAAAATTGAATACTAGATTCCTTATAAGATTATCTATCTTTGTCAAAAAAAAAAATGTCTATAAGAAAGTCAAATTAAATTTTTATGAGCGTTTGAAATTCAAATTTTTACAACATTGGATATTCACTCGATTTCTCATGTAGTGATTGCCTTATTTTGTTGTAATTCAAAAACGAATAACTGTAGATACATGAAAATTTCACTGAATGTTTATATTAGCAATTTCCTATACACCATAAAATTTTGACTCTTTTTGAGCTATTTACGGACATTTACAGGTTTTCCATTTTTTTAGTTTTTTTTCTATAAATATCAATAAAGTTTTATCTGTTTGGCCAAAAAGTGTAAAAATTTAATACAAGGCTCCTGATATATTGTTACAATATCAGTTAAAAATATTAAAAATACATTGACACACATTTTTTTTATAAACATTTAAAGATCGATTTTTACAAAATGTATAAAATTTAAAATTGAATAATTATTTTGTAGTTAAAAATGTATAAAATGTTTAACTTTTATATCTAAGAATTGATAATTTAAAACAAGGTTCTATGTAAGTAGTTAATTCTGTTACCAAAAAATCTAAAAAATACTTAGCAAATTTTTTTTTTATAGTCATTTTAAGTTCAAATTTGGACGAAATTATATATCAAAATCAATATTAACGATTTTGGTTTTTTGTTGTAATTTAAAAATATTATTCGGGGATATATGAAACTGAAAAATTAAAAACTCAAAATATTATGGCCTATCCATACAATCTACCATAGTATAATGAATAAGAAGTATGTTCAATGATAAGACTGTGCATATTTTTTTTTATTACCATTGATACGTATAATATAATATGTCTTAAACAGTTAAACCTAGACTGACATACCGTCTCCGCTCAAAATCGTTTTTCTTATACAATGATATTATATCATTGAATTCAAATTTAATACCATCCATTTTACAGTGACCCACTTGTTACCTACTGTACAGCAGAGCACCTTTTTTTCTATGTATGTAATTAATATAAATTTAATAAAAAATACAATTAAAATAATTAAATAATTTATCTTACGATTATGAATTACCCACCCACCAGTAGAAATTATAGTAAATAAAATAATTTTATATTAATTTTATATTTTAAACTCTGGATACAACAGAAAATATTTTATAATAAATATTATTAATGTTATTAAGTGAATTATAGTATATAGTAATAAACTTTATTTATAGAATACGTCATGGCTAGGTTAGGTTATAATAATTAACATTTAACATACAAAGAGTAATGATATCCCACCAAAAACATATATGTAAAATGAGAGCTAAGTTCAATACTATAATGCCTTACTTGTTGACTTCAACATTATTAGGATCATATATTGAAGCCTAAGGTCTGCCTTGGCTACGAATTATATAATAGCCTTCACAAGTTCTAAAGCTTTGAGTTCTTATTTTATTCTTCCGAAAATCTCCTTCACTCTTCCATTACTGTTTTAGTAGGTACTTAATAATAATTCGTATATTATGAAAACTAGCCAAGTCAGACCTTAGGCTTCAATATATTATCCTAAGTTGGCATCCTAACTTGGCACCCATTTAGATCTCACTTCTTTTGTCGTTGAACATCTCAAAACAATTCAAAATATTTTGAAAATTATATGGTGTATAGAAAATGCTTTTATAAACATTCAGTTAAAATTTCATGTATCTATGGCCATTTGTTATACAGTTACACCAAAAACAAAAATCGATTTTGTTGAAAACCGATTTTTCGTAAAATTTCCCTTTTTTCTTTAATGTTTTTGGTTTTTCCAGGCGTTATTGAAAACTACTGGGAATTTTAAATTTTGACCTCCCCAATGGACCAACTAGATTCACTTTCCCATCAAACAAGATACTAAAGTGGAAAATCAAAGCATTATTTTGACTACTTGTACACAGATACCAAAAGAGTTTAAAAAATTAAAAACACACGTCATCATTGTAAAATCAGATTCTAAAATTCAATAGTTAAAAGTTATATAACGCACCTAAAAATTTGCTTTTGAACAATAATTAAATTCCTAAAGCAGTTATGTAACTTATCAGAACTTATTAAAAGGTATATTTTATACTTTTTCTGGTAAGAGGATATCAAGCGAACTGTTTGTTTTCTCTATCAGACATATAGACAAAACAAATTCACGCAAATCATTTTTTTGTTTTTGGACAATCTTAGATTAAAATCACATATTACTAAAAACTACTGGGTGATTCTTTTATCAAACAACACTCATTATTTCAAAAAGTATAAATTTTTTTGAAAATATTTTTTTTACATAGTTTCAAGTCGCTTATAAAACAACGTTTTTATTAAAAATTATATTTTTAAATATTTTTTATCCTTATAATTTTTAAGTTTTTACTTTTTTGAATACACATAGGTTTTAATTTTATATTCCAAAGCAGAATATTTTCTTAGTATTTTGATACATGAAACTTGAATTTGGGGCGAGTAGTTTATGAGTTATAAGTATTTAAAGTTTAGACGAGCATTGAAGTGGACAAACATTTCGTGGGGTAACCCCGAACCACTCCACTCCGCTCGTCTAACTTTAAATACTTATAACTCATAAACTACTCGCCCCAAATTCAATTTTCATGTATCAAAATACTAAGAAACATATTCTGCTTTGGAATATAAAATTAAAACCCTATGTTGTTATTCAAAAAAGTAAAAAAACTTAAAAATTATAAGGATAAAAAATATTTAAAAATATAATTTTTTTAATAAAAACGTTGTTTTATAAGCGACTTGAAACTATGTAAAAAATATTTTCAAAAAAATTTACACTTTTTGAAATAATGAGTGTTGTTGATAAAAGAATCACCCAGTAGAAACGGTCGTCGAACGGAAAACAATCCAAAAATAGCTCTAAGCCCATATAAAATTAAAATATATTATATTTTTAAATTATAAAATGCAAAATTATTGCTGTATTAAAAAAAAACCTAGCTTAGGTCAAAAAGTACTTCCTCCGTCGACCATCGCACAATTACCACACACCCTTTAAAATCAAAATTAATGGCTGATCCTATATTCTCATGATTATAAACAAGGACAGGGTTATTAAGAATTCACATTTAAATATAAATTTAAAATGTTTAAAATAAATTATTTTAACATAACTCTTAAGTAGCCAGTAGGTACCTACTTGAACTATCCGTTATATATGAAGACACTAAATTTGGTGCTCCTCCGCATGAAGCTGAACTATCTCCCGAACATTTTTTTGAACACTCGAAATCAAGTTGCCGCATAAGTCTTGATATGTAATTTTTGCTACAATAACAAGTGCTAAAAAAAAATAAATAAATTAAATAATAAATTTAGGACGATTTGTGTTTTTTAAATCAATGTAATAATGTTTTAGCTAAATATTTTAAAAATTATATTAATATTATTATAAAATAATACAACAAGGACATACTCATGTTTAAGGATAAAAAATGTATATTGTTTTTCAGAACAAAAATCTGAACAAGATTGAGGTGTTACTGGATTTAAAATACGACTCTCTTCTCCAAGAGTTAATAAGTTTTCTTCCAAAAAACATCCTAAGAATTTATAATCTGTGTTTTGAGCTGCTAAAACTGATAAAATATAGTTTTATTTAGTAAACATGTTTTGCAGTTTTGTTTATTATATGGACGTTTGAATATTGAATTTAAATAATATTTTAATGTGTACCTACCTGTTGTCACAAATAAACTAAAACTTAATAATTTGAACATTATACTGATACTCTATAACAAAGGTGAAATATTAAAATATTTGATGATGTGTGATGGCTTAAATCTTGTGTGTAACTAAATTTTTTTAACGTAACAACGTACATACTATTATGTTGTTATTATTTATAAATTGTATTCATGGTAGGGCATGGATTCAGGTTTATCAGGAAATCCCCACTATTTCAGACTTTGAATAGTGCTACATTATGTTCCTAAACCTATTGGTCATTACTCATTACCAGTGTAAAATATACCTACATATTTTGCATTTAATATATTATAGGTACATATACAGGGTGACTCTTCAAGCATGCATCACCTCACTTTTCTTTAACAAAACATATATTCCAATTAAAATTGTTGGGATTGTTAAATACCTACACTGGCTACACTTAAGAACTACTACATTTTCTGATCCTGTGGCGATACAATCTTATTTTTTTTTTAATGAGAACCAATCTTTTTTTATTTTACATTTTAAGTATCTAGATTCTAGATTATTTTTTTGAAAAGTTTGAAGAACCTATCTAAATCAAAATTCAAAAGAGCAGTTTCTATATTATTAAAATGTATATACTAAGGATAATGGTTTTACAAAACTACTATCAAATAGATGTGCCTATATAATCTAATATTTATAAGTTATAAATTATAATACAATAATACATTATACTCAGACAAATAGATAATATTTACAAAATATAAATGTTGATCGATTAATATTAACTACTAACATTTCCAAATTATAGTTACATGAAAATTTCAAAAATCATAATATTGTAATAAAATATGTATTATTAAATGAAAAAGTTGAGGTCAGCATCCTTGGTGAATCACCCTGTATATAAATATACATGATTATTGTTAATCATTGAACATAAATAATTATATACCTAGAAAAATATTTGATAATAGGATACTAACTATCATGAAAATTACTATGCCTCTATATAAAATTAACTTATAAATACGTTTTTAATTATTGTAATTATTATGTTTAAAACTAGATACCTACCTTATTCAGGTAGTAAGATATAAACTGTAGTTTGTATTTTTAAATTATATTTTATATTTTTATAATTGTATGAAAAATTATAGGTAGGTACATATCAAAATTCAAATTACAATTTACAAATGTTATTTTTCTTTGTAATCTTGTATTATCTCATATTGAACAGTGTATTGTGTTTGTGTCCATATATTGTTTATTTGTCTGTTTAGGAAAAATGCATGGTCGACAAATAATTTAAATTTGAAAATGTATCAGTATTCAGTTCCTATTTATTCGTCAATACTCTTTAATACATTTGTTAACTAAGTATCCATAAGAATAGGATCCTATCCTAAGGTAAGTATACTGTATAGGAGGGGTGGATTCAGTGGGTGGCAAAGGGGGCATGCCCCCCCCTCCAATCGCCGTAATTTTCCTTTGTTTACACTGTGCAGTTTAGTCAATTTTGTAGCCAATGTTGGAACTTTTAGTACTTTTGTCCCCCCCCCAAAAAAAAAAATTAAGCCCCGGATCCGCCATTGCTTTATAGTACTAAAATGTATAAGGTATACATTTTTAAAAATATCGGGGAACTCAGGGGAAGTCACCCTGCAGTTGTAAAGTAGATTTTGAAAGTGCCTATAGTCATTGAATACTCAATGTAAAGGATGTGTTATACTTGAATTCATAAATCATTAAACCATTGCATATTTGCATTCTAAAAAATGATTAGGATTCTGGAGAGGAGACAGCAGTCTCTATTTTTTGATATATTTAAACATTTATTTATTTATTCAATAATTGAAGTAATTTATTTTTCTATTAGTAGTACGGTGATCTTAATAGGTATATAAAAATCTCGTGTCACAGTGTTAGTGTTCGAACTCCTGTTACGGCTGGACCGATTTTAATGAAATTTTTTTTGGATATTTGGTTGGTATATAAGAATAAGTCTTCAAGTATTGTTCACCCTCCTACCACTACCCGGGGAGATGCTCTAACGAGGATTTTGAAAATTAAGGCGGAAATTGTTGTTTATAAATGGTTGCTAATGTTTATAGGGGAAATAATTAGTAGAAATTAGTATTTATTTATTATTGGTTGCCATTGGTTATTTGGGCAGATAAGGTACAAGCATGTATCAAATCGAATTTTTGAATATTGCCTAGGTACCCAGATGGATGAGTTGCACTTTGTCCGTGATCCGACGTAGCTAGTCGGATTGCCTGCCGGGGTGGCTGAGTTGCACTTACTGCAATGAATTACACCTAAAAGTAGTTAAATAAGAGTTGCCATTTTTTACCGGCAATAAAGTGCACGGGATCAGCTAGTTTACTAAAATAAGAACTATATTTTGCTAAAAACATCGCATATATTATATTATTAAATATTATAATGCAATACATATTATAACAGCATAGTGAACAGTGACGTATACATAACTTTTGTATAGGGGATTGGGTGGGCGATCAGAAGTGCGGAAAAACACAACCTATCGACTATTACCTATGAATGAAAAAAGACGTTTTTAAGTATTTATAAAACCCTAAAAAGTCCATCTTAACCAAGTAACCCACACTCCCACATTCTCCATTGTTATTAACTTATTAAGTTAAATGTTAATACTGCAGAAATACCGTACGGAACTAAGTGCATAAGATCATGCCATCGTGGTATAAAAAGCTTAAAAATGTAATCATATATAATTTCTTAAATCGGATGTGCAATTTAAGATAAATAGTTATTTATAAGATATACATCTTTAACCGGATATATTCCTCAGTGGATAATCCCACAGATAACAAAATTATTCTCCCATTTTCAAGACAGTATAGAGTATAGACATATAGTCTGTTGACTGTTGACTGCTGCCTATTTGACTGTTGAGTGAAGTGAATCATATTTTTATTAGTGCATATAATATTATAATAGTTATGGTCAGTTCTGTGTAGTCCGCCGTCGAGAACGCACGTTCACTACGTCGCGCACGAAATTTCTATCAGTATTATTATTTAATTATGTTCAAGTGTTAGCACGATAATACACAGGAGTCGTCCAAACGGAACTTGTTGTCCTCCTCTTCGTCAAATCTCGATACAAGTCTAAAGAAAATCAAGTCTTATGTGACGTCAAATCGGTTCGCTCCCCTCTCCGTGGTTGACAACCTCCCCGAGGTTTTTAGTCCCCCTCCCGACACAGTCTCACATTCAGCGCAACATAAACCTAATACGTCACCATCAAACCACCTCGGCGATGAAAAAGTCGAGGTTACGAGCACCGCCAATTGTCATAAGTAATTTTACTAACTACTCCTCGTTGAAAGAAGATTTAAAATCTCTGGTGGGTACCGAAGGTTTTAAGGCTACCGCCAAGGGTTCCTCCCTAATTATCAAACTTCGTAACTGTGATGGTTACCATAAACTTGTCGAATATTGCAACGACTCCGATTTATGCCATATGTGTGCACCCCGTCATACCCACTTATTCAAAGTGCTTATCCGCTATATACATCATACTATACCTGTTGAAGATATAAAAAGGGCCCTCCGGGATTTGGGCTTCTCAATCATAAGTGTGCTAAACATCCGCCACCGAGTTAGCAAATAGGCTCTACCACTATTTACCGTTGTCCTAGAAGCAAAGTATTATAACCGGAGAATTTTCCAATTATCCTCCCTCCTGAACACCAAAATAGTTGTCGAAAAACCGCATCAATCCAGTTACCCTCCACAATGCAAACAATGTCAGCGATACGGTCACACTCGCTCTTATTTTAGTGAATCACCACGCCGTTGTGTCAAATGCGGCACCAATCATAACACCGTGGACTGTGTCAAATCTTCGGAACTGCCTGCGAAATGTGCGTTATATATGTTCTGGCGCTCATACCGCGAACTATAAAGGTTGTCCTTCAACAACGAAATTTTTGAACACTTGTCACATGAATGGCCATCTTAAGACCACGCCACCTGTACCACCATTAGTGCCCTCAAAGGTGGTCTTACCAGTCACAGTAGTGCCCCCGTTCGCGCACATCCGATACAAAGAAAAATCCAGGGCCAATACATGCGCAGAAGCCACTTCAAACAATTCTAACAATGAACCTATTTCAAATATTTTATCTCAGTTTGTTACGCAACTAAATTCCCTCATTAGCCCATTAATTTCACTTTTATCCAAAATCTTAAGCCCATTACTATCTAAGAATACTGTCTCTCCTTAATTATATCTTCCCGAATCCATAATCGTTAGTCATAACCATTATTTTCACATCAATATCTTTTGTATATTTATCGTCTAATTACCAATTTCTATTGCTTCTATGTATATTTTAATTTTTAATTGGTTTATGTAATCACTATCTGTAATTGTTGAACTGTAATAGTCATCAACTAAATGGTTCTAAAATAAAAAAAAATAAAATAGTTATGGCAGAAGCTACTCAATGTCAAACATTCAAAAAATGTGATGAGTTTTGTAGTTTGGTACATTTAGAGGAGGCCAATAAAAAATTTGAAGATAGTGAAAACTGCAATCTATCCAAATTCAACACGAGGACAATCGAAGGTGCCAAACGAAAAATAACAAGTTTATGTTTACCTTGCCATCACATATTCAAAGTTAGGCAAATCAACAATATGTCATTATATTGTCCAGAATTGTGTGCAGAAAGATGGTCTAGGAAATATTATAGTACTGTGTGCAGAGTAATTCCTTCGAGTTTTGAATTAGATGTTTAAAGCTCAGGAAGTAAAGATCCAGTAAATGTTACAACCGTAGAACCTATGAAACCAAAACACATTTTAAACCAACATGAAAAATATAAGAAAGCACATGTAGAGGCTAAGAGGCTTGCCTCTCTAACGTCAGAAGCAACAGGATAAGAATACCAACGCAGATTAAACATTCTTAAATATATTGCAGAAAAGTGGGAGAATGAAAATCCCATTCAACTTGAAGACATAGGTATATTTACTCAATAAAATAAGTAGGTCTACACTCTACATATCAAATTTAACAATTAAATAATTAAATTTTAGATAACTTACTGAAACAAACAGAAGAAAATGATGAATTTGCCAATGACGATATAATACAGATGGATGACGATATATTACACATGGATGACGATATAGTACACATGGATGAAGAAATACTACACATGAACGAATAATAATAGTGTACTTTAGAAGTTTCAAGTACCCACGAATAATATTACACAATCACAACAAAATAACTAAAATAGTTACTCTAGGTTTTTTTTTATGTAATTTTGTCCAAAGTTGAACTTAAAACGACTATAAAAGTAAACTGTGCCTATGTATTTTTTAGATTTTTTGGTAACAGAATTAACTACTTACGTGGAATCTTGTTTTAAATTTTTAATCCTTAGATATAAAAGTTGAACATTTTATACATTTTTAACTACAAAATAATTATTAATTTTTAAATTTGATAAATGTTGTCAAAATTCGATCTTTAAATGCTTATAAAAAAAAAATTGTGCCTATGTATTTTAAATACTTTTTAACTGATATTGTATCAATATATCAGGAGCCTTGTATTACATTTTTACACTTTTTGGCCAAACAGATAAACTTTATTTATATTCATAGGATAAAAAAATTGAAATATGAAATTATCCGTAAACAGCTCAAAACAAGTCAAAATATTTTGAAAATTGTATGGTGTATAGAAATTGCTAATATAAACATTCAGTGAAATTTTAATGTATCTACAGTTATTCGTTTTTGAATTACAACAAAATAACAAATTCGCTTTATGAGAAATCGAGTGAATATACAATGTTGTAAAAATTTGAATTTCAAACGCTCATAAAAATTTGATTTGACTTTCTTATAGACATTTTTTTTTTGATAAAGGTAGATAATCTTATAAGGAATCCTGTATTATATTTTAAAACCTTAGATTTAAAAAGAAAAATTTTTACGAATTCTTAACTCAAAATAATTTTCTAATTCTTGTGATTTTTCCATAATTTGTCAATTTTTGAACTTTAAATGCTTATAAAAAAAAAACTGTGGCTAAGGATTTTTAATATTTTGCAACTATTGTAACAATATAGAAGGAGCCTTGTATTCAATTGTCAAGCTTTTTTAATCAACAAATAAAATTTAATTGATATTTTTAGAAAAAAAACTAAAAAAAAATGGAAAATGAAAATGTGCCTTTTGACCCCGCAAAGTACCAACTAGATTCACTTTCCTATCAGAAAAGCTACTGTTGAAGAAAATCCAAGCACTTTTACTGTCCTAAAACGTAATGACAGACACAAAAAAAAAATTAAAAATTAAAAAAAAAAAAATTTGCTTAAAAGTTACCTTTTTTCCTTAATTTGTATGTTGTTTTTATCGTCGCTTTTGAAAACTATTGGGAATTTTGAAATTTGACCTCCCGAATGCACCAACTAGATTCACTTTCCCATCGAACTAGATAGGTACTGTTGAAAAAAATCGAAGCAGTTTTCCTGCCCTAAATCGTGATAACACACACAAAAAAAAAAAAAGTGGGTAAGTGGATGTCGCTCTGCTGTACAGTAGGTTACAAGTGGGTCACTGTATAATGGATGCTATTAAATTTGAATTCAATGATACAATATCATTGTATAAGAAAAACGATTCTGAGCGAAGACGGTATGTCAGTCTAGGTTTAAGACATATTATATACATATCTATGGTATTAAAAAAAAAATTGACCTATAATAAATTCCAAATTAATCATATCACAATATCCACTAGGTACTTATAACACGTTATACATCAATAACAAACCCTGATACTATCATTGATATATAATATAGTGTACTTTAGACGTTTCAAGTACCCACGAATAGTATTATACACTCACAACAAAATGACTAAAATAGGTATGCTAGGTTTTTTAATATGTAATTTCGTCCCAAATTTGAACTTAAAATGTCTGTAAAAAATAACTGTGCTCATATATTTTTTAGATTTTTTGGCTACAGTATGAACTATTTATGAGAATCTTTTTTTTAAATTTTCAATCTTTAGCTATAAAAACTGAACATTTTATAATTTATTAATTACGATGGTTGATAATTTTCGAGATTTTGATAAATTTTGTCAAAATGCGATCTTTAAATGCTTATAAAAAAAAATTGTGCCTATGTATTTTTAATATTTTTCAATTGCTATTGTAACAATATATCAGGAGCCTTGTATTAATTTTTCACACTTTTTGGCCCAACAGATAAAACTTTATTAATATTTATAGAAAAAAAAAACTAAAAAAATTGAAAACTGAAAATGTCCGTAAACAGCTCAAAAAGAGTCAAAATATTTTCAAAATTGTATGGTGTATAGGAAATGCTAATATAAACATTCAGTGAAATTTTCAGGTATATACAGTAATTCGTTTTTGAATTACAACAAAATAAGGAAATCGCCACATGAGAAATCGAGTGAATATCCAATGTTGTAAAAATTTGAATTTCAACGCTCATAAAAATTTAATTTGACTTTCTTATAGAATTTTTTTTTTTGATAAATGTAGGAAATCTTATAAGGAATCTTGTATTACATTTTCATATCTTAGATTTAAAAAGAAAAATTTTTATGAATTTCTAACTCGAAATAATTTGCAAATTTTCGTGATTTTTCCATATTTTGTCATTTTTTGAACTTTAAATGCTTGAAAAAAAAAACTGTGACTAACAATTTTTAATATTTTTCATCTGTCTTTGAAACAATATAGTAGGAGCCTTGTATTAAATTTTCAAGTATTTTTACTCAACAAATACATTTTTATTGATATTCATAAAAAAAAAAACTAATAAAATTGGAAACTGAAAATGTCCCTAAACAGTTCAAAATAAATCAAAATATTTTGAAAATGTTATCGTGTATAGAAAATGCAAATATAAACAACCACTGAAAATTTCATGTATCTACGGTTATTTGTTTTAAAGTTACACCAAAAACCAAAATCGATTTTTTGGAAAACCGATTTTGCGTAAAAATTCCCGTTTTTCCTTAATTTTTATTTTGTTTTTCCCGGCGCTTTTGAAAACTACTGGTAAATTTAAATTTTGACCTCCTCAATGCACCAACGATATTCACTTTCCAATCGAACAAGATACTGAAGTTGAAAATCGAAGCATTATTTCGACTACTTATCGTGTACACAGACACAAAAAAAATTTAAAAAAAAATTAAAAAAAAAACACACATCATTGTAAAATCAATACATTCATCGTTTCACTCAGAATCTTAAAGTGAAAATGAAATTCAAGATGTTACGAGAATTTAATATTGAGGTCATATAGCAGGATTGCTATTGGATTTGTATTGTTTCTTAGTAAGTTATTTAAAATTTTCAATGGTAAAAATGTTTCCCAGGTAGGTAGGCCACTGTATTTAATGTATATAGTTTTTCAGGAATTTGTTTCCGATTTTGGAATATTGTTTTTAATAGCTACGAGTACTAAATTGAAAGTCACTTCATCCATACAAAAATACAGAATAAAAATACGTAGGTATCGCAAATTGAGGATAAACAGAATTGTTTATCAAATACGATAATTTATCTATGTCTAAAATGTATAGTAATAATAAGTACCTACAGCATACTGGATTGCGCCAAGGTGATCGAGTCTGTAAACAAACGTCATGCAGGTACGTATTTTTTTATATTAAACACATTTTTAGGTGTATGTAGTACTATGTACAACCGTACATGAGTATACCTACTTAAAATATTTCTCAGCTCCTCTATTGATATATTGATCATATATTGATAATTTACAAGTATATGCTGATTAGTGATTATGAATAGAGGTAGGTACCTAACTATTACATGCATGTACAGTAAAAAAGTAATGAAACTTACAAATTATAAAATAACAGAATAACAATTGTTTGGACAAACAAGTAAAATACCTATATTAATTTTGTTTTGATTAAAATTACTTACCTAAGTTATAGTTATTTGTCATGGTCATTATCATTATCTTGATCCTTATCATTATCATTATCTGCAGGGTTATAACTTATAAGCTTTTGTGTTTTTTTTTTTTTTACATAATAAAATAATTTGAGGCTTTAAGCCACAAAAACAAGTTTTATCTAATTCTAACATGTAAAAACATGTTTTAAATTACTTATCAACCAATATTCTTTTGTGCTGAATACAGAGATCAATCAATTGTGTTGATTTTAACGATCATTATTCACTAAAAAT